GGTGAAGGTACTGTGTACGCAAAGTTGATGAAGACTTCCTTTGTCAAGATACCGTCCAAATAAAAAAAGTGATCACTTCAGTGGATATAAATGATGAAGCAAAACACAAAAAGGGTGTAAAACAAATACAGTGAACTAATGAGCCAAAGAAAATTGGCCGTATTACCGGAGTAGGCTCAAATTTCATGACTTTAGGGCCGTAATGACAGATACACCAGGAATACACCGTGCATCGTATGCACCGTACTGTTCAAATTAATAAACGACAGGAATGTATGAGATATCGCGTACAGTCAGTACATGAAACTCTTTTAAAATTCGGCTATAAATCGCCACAAGTGCATTTTAAGTGTACTGTAGTCTAAAAACAATGCGGGAACAAGCTTAGATTACTAGGTCAATAAACTGACATGTCACAGGCGGTTTTAATTTTTCAAATTTCGAACGCGTGGTCGTTTTAACGGGGTGAAATCATAAGGGATTCTACTGTTTGAGATTTTTAAAATGTGGCTTTTGGCCGTATTAGCGGGTGTCCGCCATTAAAGGGTTTTTTTTTTATAAGGAAATGTATGGTCGTTTTGCCGGGCCGAAAAAAACTGGCCGTAAGAATGAGGTGACCGTATAATCGGGGTGGCCGTAAGGCGGGGTTCTAATTTACCGTCAATACGGACAACGAAGGGGCCACAGCAAGTGTCCGTATATAAAGCGGGTCACGGTTATTAAAGTAAAAAACAACAACAACTTTTAATCGACCAAAATACTCAAGAAATAAATGAGGTCATTAGTATCGTCAAATTTAATAACTCTAACCCCCCTTCACAAAACCGTGATTCCTTGGACTAAATCTACGAAAACACTCAAAATCGCTCATCTATGCATTGCTTAATCAAAAGCGCTATCTGCACAACTCGTTTTGTGCCACAGTTTGAAATCAACGTCCCAAAATCATCCTATCCGGTGTGCTGTGATGCTGAGAACATCGACAAGTTATCACCTAAAGGTATTTTTACCTTCAAAAAGGACAGGTCTGTAACAGCACACAGTTCAGTGACAAGGAAGTGTCGGCATTAACGAGGTTGACTTTCCTGTTGAATGGGCGAGGAGCAAGTCGGTCCGCTGTCCGCATTAACAAGTGTCCGCATTAACCGTGTTGAATTTAGAGAAAATGTTGAGACTTGCTCCAGGGACAAGGCTGGGTTCGACGGTAGTGTCTATATAGCTGCCCAATGTGCCGGCCACCCCTCAGTTCTGATTTCCAACCCTGATCTTCAAAATGTTTTCCCTTCTCACGAAATTTACACGGTAGACTTAAGTTAACTCAAACTCCCGGCTCACCCGAATCAAAATTGATTTCCTTTGAATTTTGTCCACCCTTTTGCTGTATTTAACCTTTAACCGCCCCTAAATCCAAGTAATTTTATTTTCCTTAAGGGCATTTTCGTTTTCTTTTTTTTTTTTGTTTTTCACTCTCGAGTGGAAGTCGAAGAGCTGACGATGTACACTTGTCCTTTAGTTTTAGGATTTACAAAATATCGCTCCATTTGTACTCGTAAAATTCGAAAACACACTTACCTACTGCTCACGGTTCCACTCCAGCTTTGAACATTTGACGTCATTTCTATGGTCTACGGGGCATAGACAGTGCAAAATTAGTGTCTAGTTGTAAATAAAATGAATTTTTAATGAATATAATACCACAGGGAATTACTATTTAATAGTTTTTCCTTCTCAGTTGTTGCGCTTCGGACAAAACTATCCGGAAGTATGCTGAACAATTTTCTGACCCTCGGCGTAAAGCTTCCGTCTCGCTACGGAAGAATTGCAATGGAAGAGTCATTTAGAAAGACTTAAAAGTTATAAACATTTTAACCGCGGGCCTCCAAAAACAACTGCAAGTTTGTAAGTTTGGGTGTTTGTTTTTGTGTGTGTGTGTGTGTGTTTTGCAGAGAGGCACAAGCCAGGTGGCTGTTGTCATGTAAATTAACGCGTGCAATTTATTTGGCAAACAGGAAATTGGAAAAAAGCGATTCATTCTTAGAAAAACATGTCTATTTCTATGACGTGCTCTTACGGGCATTTTGCGGTGTTAGATGTGACTATTTTTGTAGTCACTTTCAGTTTCTACTAGTGAATTACCTTCCAGAAAAAAACAGTTGCGACGTGTAAAAACAGTTTTTAAAGCTATATATGGTGTACAGTTAAATCTGGGAACAAGAAATACGTCGTCAACTTTTGTCGCTGAGGTAAGATCCTACTAAAAGATCAGCCACGCACCGGAATCTCTTTAGACCTACTATGCAAACGCCCAGTGACAGATGCGCCGTGCGCTGAACGCGCGCTCGCCGTACCGAGCGCGCAATGCCGGCATATTACAAGTATTTCAGATTGCTTTTACTCAGCAGCTTCTCTTGTTTACATATTTTAAATATATCATTGAGCATGGTAAAAGCGTTAATTCACTTCAGTACTCCACACAAAATCATCTTGAAGTTTAGGAAACGTACGATGCAGTGTTTTGATATATTTCTTTTTACTTAGTGAGGCACTTTGAGATTTTAGACCGGTCTACACGAAACTGTTCTTCAGCGCGATTGAACTTGATGTCGGAGACCAGTTTACATAACCTATCGGACCCATCTTCAAGAAAGGGCAAAATGAAAATCGGGCTCATTTGAAAAAAAAACTGTAGTAAAAAAGGTTAAAACAGACAAAATTTCGGAAAATCGAGGCCCGACAATTATCTCTCCTAAAAGGATATATGAAAGTACAGTTAAAAGAATGTTTGATAGGGCAATAGCCATATACTGAGAGAAGCGGTTAAGACGCACGTACAGAGATATGATTTTATTAATTCCAGTTAAGATATCTTCAGGATGTTAGATCAAATTAAGTCTCTTTACATGTAGACTGTTTGATACCATGTGGCTTTTCAAAAGAATCAAAACTTTTTGAAAACATTTTTGCAAAAGCTCGGCCAAGTTGTGGTGGTTTTGTTGTCTGTTTATGAAATATTAATAACAAAGAAGCGCAGCTTCTTTGCACACGGTTCAACATCGCTGCTGGAAGTAATACTCAGACTAAAAGTGCAGAAGAACAAGATTGATTTGTTATTACACCCGTGGACATGCGATTTCACGCTAAAAAAAGAAAAAAAAATTAAATGTGACATTTCCCTCGGCTTATATGAGAGAGACAGACGCACTTGCGCCGTACGCTGACGTCACGACCCTTTAGGTTACTTTGATTTCTCATTGGGGCGAAACTCCTTTTGGAGCTCCGCTAAAACGCTGTTTTAAGTTTTGAAACTACTTCTTAAACAAAATAATTTTCATGATGAAATCTAACGATTAAAAAGCTGCCCAGAGACGTGTATCCAAAGAAATAACTACGAGCGTTTGTGTTTACCCTCTGAATTATTTACGAATTTTCGAAATCTAAGACAATATACAACAGTTTAAATTCATTATAGCTGCTACAATCTCAGACACATTTCTTGATTAGTATTATGATTAGCAAAAAACTGAAATCAGTCGATAATGAGTCAAGATCATGGCCCTAGCGTGCCCGATTTTCTAAGAGATAGATTTTATTAAAAAATACTTTTGAAAAAAGCGCTTACTGCTACGGCGATATCGAGGCTTAAAAATCATCGCTTCGCAACCTTGAATTACTACGAAATTAAACTGTTAACACTCCTTGCTATGGAAAACATATGCGATCATTTACATAGATGTAGATGTAGAGTCACTAAATAGGGGAATTTAAGCAGCGACGTTTTTGAGCGACGCATATCAACTGGAAATGAGTTTTTTTCTCTTTTAATATGCCTAGACGCTGCCAAATTTGCGTTGCTAAGTGTCTTTACTCTTATAGAAACGATTTGCCCAAGAATTTGTTCAAAATCACGTCCGAAGAGTGAAAAAAAGCCAGTTCCGTTTGACGTTCGTCGCTCAAAATCGTCGTTGCTTAAACTCCCTCAGTTGTCTAAGAAGGAGTGACTTGCGAAGGTAAACAAAAAGATTCTGTCCATTATGGTGATATTACACGAGGCGATTCGCAACGACGCTTTTTAGCACAACACAACGTTACAATGCTGGAACGATGTTTTAACCATTCGAAACAATGTCGCGACAATGTTGCAACGCTGTGTTGCGTTAAAAATCGTCCTTGCAAATCGTCCCGTGTGAACATCACCCTTATAACCATCGCTACTCACACACTTTTGGAGCCTTTTATTGGTAGCTTATTCAGTAGGAGCTCGTCATTTCTGATACAGGAAGTTTTAACGCCGCTTGTAGCCGACTAGACTTCCTGCGATTCTGAACAAATAGGTGTTAATGTTGGTTTAGGGGAGGGGTAGGTGGGCAGTTTCACAGAAACGTAAAATGATCCCACTATGCAAAGGTCCTGTCAGAGAATCTAGAACAAAAGCGCTGGTCAGTTTACTTAAACAGGTTCAGGTTCTATCTTAAGATAGCGATTCCTTTGTTTCGAGCCAACAATGCGACCTGTTTGACAGTAACAATAAAAAATGCTTTTTCTCTAATGCAAACAATTCATAGTGTTCTGTTTAAAGTGTATTGGGCACTCTTCCAAGGTGTGTTTTACAAAAACGGCTAGCACTATATTCGAGAGGTATCAGAAATTCGATTCCAAGTTCAGTGCTTACAAGATCGTGACAAAATTGCTAACGTTTACGGTTGAGAACCATAATAGCGAATCGATATTGTTCTTTCAGTTGTCTGTTTATTTTAAAATTCTCTTTTCCTCCGGTCCTGATCTGGGTCCTGATCAAACAATTTCGTTCATAAACTTCCTTTCCTATAATAAAATTGCGCACTGAGTTATTCGATCGTGTATTTGGTCGACGTCAATCTTAAATTGATGGCAATGTAAACATCGATATATTATGCGAAATTGCCGATTTAATTTAATAACACAAACCGCAGAGCCTGAGTTAAGTATAGTTGAATGGTATTCCTTTTTTGTTGTTGTTGCAGATGGCTCGATCCACTTTGTTATTTTTGTTGACCGTAATCGCTCGGGCGTCTTTGCCCACCGAAGCCCAGGTCACAAATTGCACTGCTGGATGCAAGTGCAAGGAGATTGTAGGCGAAGGAAGACTGATCTCAGCGAACTGCACAATAAGTAACCTCACAGAGCTGTCAGTATTCACTCCACCTTCGCAAGTAAAGACACTGTGAGTAGACCAGCGCACCTATGTCACAAAAAGAAATATTTGATGGAATCCACCAGGAAATTAATTTTCAGTGGACAAAAACCTTGTACCAGAATAATTTAAAGCATATTGCTTTCAAATTTACATTTTTAAAGGGCTAAAGATGTAATTAGTTAACACGAAAGAAAATTTCTTATGGGAATCCGAGAAAATGAATGTCAATTTTCACAAAATGACATCTTTTACTTGAATTTTTCAAAATTTACCTGTGTTTTCACAATTCTCGTGAAATTTGACATTCATTTTCTCGGACTCCCATAAGAAATTTTCTCTGGTGTTATTACAGATGACTAATTAAATCTTTAGCCCCTCAAAAATGTAAAACTGGGAATGCAATATTCTTTAAATTATTCTGGTACAAGGTTTTTCTCCACTGAGAATTAAAATTACTCAATTTCCTGGTGGATTCCGTTTTAAATGTTCTCTGATCTGATTTTAAGCTCAATTGTAGTCTTTAAAAAAAACCACCTCCTACGTATATCTTCTACGTATTCCAACGTCAACATTTGAGATATGAACGGATATTTTGTTGTTGGTAGTTTGTTTGTTTGTTTGTTTGTTTTCGTAGACGTTCAAGAACACACAGAAAAGCAAAAGGCAGCTTTCGGTGTATCGTAGCTTCCGAACATTTCGTACGGCTTTCTTGTCGGCAAATTTTACTCTAGAAATTAAAAAAAGCCGTGGTCAAAGTAGAGGAAACATCATCTTCTAATTAACAAATTAAATTTTTTTTACACAAAATTTTATTTGGGCTAACCAAATATTCAATAAGAATAGTTTTAGGGTGATGTTACACGGAACGATTCGCAACGACCATTTTTAGCGGAACACAGGGTTCAAATGTTGGAACAATATTGCAGCCCTTCGAAACAATGTTGTTAAACGCTGTATGTGTTGCGCTAAAAATCGTCGTTGCCAATCGTCCCATGTAACATCACCTTTAGCATGGCCGCATTGACAGATGCTTTATTGGAGCTGACAGATGAGATGTCCTCATTCACAGACTACAAAATGACATGAATAGCTCAACCAGGCAATTACTATTTTTTTTTAAATTAAATTTTTAACCGGTTTATTTTTCTTGTTATTCAGGGTAATCGCGTTATCTAGTGAAATGGAAATTCTTCCCGAAGGATCGTTTGTGAAGTTCACTATTCTTGTGAACTTGTAAGTATTGTTATTAAGTGTTATTTAGAGATCTACGGTAGCCTTAGACTTCCATCTTTCACTTAGGGTAGCTAGATTTTTTTGTAATCTGCGGCAGAGGATGAGAGGGAGAGCGACCATCATCTTTCGATAGGTGTACAAAGACTGTTTACGGGCATAAAGGGAAACGCGTGACCTTAGAATGTACACAAACCCAGCAGTGACACGATTGATCTCCTTTATAAATCTGGAAAATTTGGAAAGAGGAAATTAACTTTTATCCATTTGTTTTTTTAGCGGAGGAAGCTTGAGCAACCACAATGGCGACAGGGACGATAGAAAGCAACAACAGAAAAACCGGTGAAATGAGGAAGTTTCACGTCGTACTCGTGCAACGACAAAGAAATGCACAAAAAAGTGTGATGCTCGAGCAAAGTTGTTGTTTTGCCAGTTAAACCTATTGCCTTTTTTGCCGTTCTCGTTATCATCGCCGTCGTCGTTGCTCAAGCTCTCCTTTAACTAATATCTTCGACATTATTTCAGGTGCACACCTGTACGGATAGCTATGCCTCTGTCATTTCGTTTCTGAGAATAAGAGAACAGCGATAGCTAGCCTGCTTTGCAGGCGTATTTTTTGGGGGCTGGAGAAACCTGCTTCTTTGTTTACGCATGCCAAAACGTTCGCGCACCCGCTTCCAAAGAAAATGCCTGCATTCTGTGTTAAGCAGCAGCTCATCCACCACGTGCTCTGCTAACGAACAATTTTGCACGCCTCGCGCGGAAACAGACTCGCTTGAGAATTTACAGAGGTGGCTCAGTTTGTTCCATATTTGGACATTTCGCTCGGGTGGGCGAAACGGGTTGGGCTTATTACTGGGAAAAATAAACTGTATTGTCATATTTCTTTGTTCTGAAATTGTAGGAGTATTCCTAACAACAATATTAGAGTGATCAAAGATGGTGCGTTCTCGGGTCTCAATCTTTTACAGTACCTGTAAGTACATTTACCATTTTAATCAAAAACACAAATAAGGTGTTTTATTCGGTGATTTATTACATTTCCTTGTTCTTGAGAGAATGACTAACGAATATAAGCTAGTTAGCGATAGCTTAAGTTGTAATCTAAGGTTAGGGCCTATTTACAAGGAAAGAGGGTAACCCTTTTGATAGGGTTACCCTAGCAAGCAGATTAAAGTTAGCTCTTGTTTACAAGCAAATTTCACAGGTAGGGTTACCCTATCACCCGGGTGAACTTTACAAGCTTCGTGTCATTCTTTGTAACGGTTCAAAATTTGAAATAATATTGAAGTTTTCTACGGAAAACACGTTAAAATCCTCGAAAAAAGGGGGAAAATAATATTATCATCGTAGACAGAACATAACTTTTTATTTTTTAGATGTTTATAATTAATATCAGAAATTGGATAATACTGTTCAAATTGGCACGATTTAATACTGCTCACGCATGACCGCGGAAAGTTGACCGGGGTAGGGGAGTTATCCCTATCTGAGCGTTTACAAGGCAGGTAGCGTAACCCTAGCACTCAGGTAGGGTTACCCTAGCGCCAGAGTAACCCTACCTGCCTTGTAAACACGTCGTGTGAAAAAAGAAGAAATATGCGAGTGCTTGGGTTACTCGCTTGCTAGGGTTGCTTCATACCAACAACAACAGAAACAATCAATATTTACGGTATCTCTACGTTAGAATGCTCTTCGAGTGAGGTGTTTACATAACAAACTTTAAGAGAAACTACACTAACGCTAGCTAAAATATATATACATGTATATACCCAAAGAGGCTATATAAAGCCACCCCATGCAAGTCGCACCACACATTGAGTTCTATTGCACGGATGGTTTGTAATCATTTCGTTCTCTTCTCCGCAGAGACCTTTCTGCAAATCAACTCACGAAGTGGGAAGGAAATTTTTCGAGTGGCTCGGAGCTTTCGTCTTTGACGTATCTGGATATATCAAGCAATCCAACCACATTTAAACTACCGACCGCTATACTAAAACTGCCTAGCCTCAAGGAGATTCACGGTGCGTTCTTGAACCAACCGTGCTCGGTTTGCACGCTTATCAGGAATTGCAGCTGGCAAAAAGAGGAAACGAGTTCGAACATGGACAAATTTAACATCACTACATCAGACCTGAGAAACGAAACATTTAGGAAGGGCAAAGAGGAAAATTGTCAGGTCAACGAAATTGAAATATTAAGTAAGGAGGTGGTTAAATACGCGCAGTATGGTTTTTTTCCAACGTGTTTGGAAACGAAGAAAGAATGTTACGACAGTGTTATTCGCGTGACACCCATTCACAGGTGCTGGGACAATAGTAATAAATATTTGAATGCGGTTTTCTTAATTGCGCCGATTGCTTTCCTTCTAAACTTAACGGTGGTTTTAATCACGTTAACTACTCGAGCATTACGGAGAAATGTCACCATGTTTTTGACCTGCAATATGGCTTTTAGTGACTCCATTCTCAGTCTATATGCGATCATATTGATCTCAACGAGACAAAAGTCGTATGTGGACTTCTTGATGATCCAGCATGGCATGTGTAATATAATCGGATTCATGTGGCTTACCTGCCAAATAGTCAGCATCAAGACCTCCTTAGTCCTGACCGTAGAACGCTTTTTAGCCGTGGTATATTGCATGGAGCCCACGATTCGTATAACTCGCAAACTAGCGGTGGCCCTTGCAGTGCTAATATGGATTTTGGGCGTGGCTGTTGCCATCTTACCATTACTGAAAATATCTGTGTACTATAGCAACACATACTGCATTCCAATTCGTCCAGTTAAAGACATACCGCACTCCTATGAGCTGAGTATAGGGCTGGCGCTATGGGGAATGCTTATATACTGCACAACAATACCCTTCTACCTGAAAATCTTCCTCGCTGTGAAGAAAACTAGCAGGAGAGCCGGTGTAAAAAGAGATGGTACTCTGGCTAAAAGAATATGCATTTTGGTGTTAAGCAATATGTTATTTTTCTTCTTTCCAATTGTGATTGTATTTCTCTGGCTTACGACTGACCTCAAGGAGACAATGTCGCCAAAGAATCGAGAAATTCTTACGGGAGTTATTCCATCACTACTCTTCAGCCTCAACTCCCTCATAAATCCGTTGCTTTACGCTTTCAGGTCGGAAAAGTTCCAAAAAGCGATCAAAATCAGGATATACACAATTTGCTTGAGGAAGCCTAGGAGTTCTTCTTTGACAATGTCTTTATCTCATCTAGCGACTGTAAGAACTACAAGAAATCGCAATTCCCGTTTACCATCGTCTGCAGATACGTTAAACTCTGCTTATACCATAGCCCGAAGGACACCTCCCACGCCGAAAAGGGAGTCATTAAACGGGGATGCAATGGCCTTGACAAAAGTCTAAAGTCTAAAGTTAATGTATTAGAATCAACAAATGGCTTCCGTCGGCTGAAGCAAACGAAAAGCAAAAGTGTCTGTCTGAGGGGAACAAACGGCAGTGAAATGTCACTGTTCCTAAAATTAAAATGTGTATGCACTACCCTATTCTCTCTTGATACTGCTTAGAAAACAGAAGACTGAAGATCATGTAATAACTTCTGTCAAACCAAATTCAGATACTTCATGCAATGCCCGTGGCGGCCCTATTTTCGCCAATTAGAGCGGTTTTCATTTGAGTGTCGAAAAGTAATTGGTTTTGCACTTTCTACACGATGCGATTGGCTTAAAAGATTCGCGCCACCTTTTCATCCAATCAGAAGCAAAACCAAAGCCAATTGTGACGCGCTCGCACGATTTTCCCGCGCTTTGCGTCAGCCACATGTAATTACTTCGAGTTTTGATTGGTTCAATGTATTGTCTGTGTCCTATGTGATTGGCCAGAGTAATTACTTTGGTTTTGGTTTTACGACACTCAAACGAAAACCACTCTAACAAGTTTTTTAAGTAATTTTATTCGACTGAGTGATTTGAAATTGAATCGCTAACGACAAGTGTCACTTGTAAGATGTTTCTTATAATTAATTGTTTATTACTAGACGAGAAAGACGAACAATGGAGGAAATAATTCTCTCGTTCCAACATGGTGTACAAAAGAGAGGGAAAGAGAGAGAGCTACACAGGCTACTAACTGAAAGATCGGTTTTACAATTTGACCATTTTCGTTTTTAAAGAGTGTGAAAATCAGAGCTATCACGGTGCCCCAAAAATGCAGTTATTCATGAGGATAAGGCCGTTTCTAAGAAGTAGGGAAACTATAAATAACTTTTCAATGACGCATGCTATGTCATCTTGTGAATTAAAATATGGTTGAACACATTTAGTTCCCATGGTAAGAGGACGCATGACCTGCCTCCTTTCTAGGCGTCTCAAGTGTTTGGAAAACTGAAAACGCCACTGCGAGCGATCAAGGCGTATCGCGCAATGGACCATGGGAGCGTTTAGCGTTGACGCAAAGGACGCTGGGAGGCTAGCGGGGTCCCGCAACACAGCAAGAGGGCCAGTGAGGTTCCTTACGTAGTGAATTTTCTGAACATTTTTCTCTTTCTTTCATTTTCCGTAGTTTCATTCGCCCCTACGCCCGATTCTTTTTCCCCGCTAGTATTCCCATATCCCTTCCCGACCTTCCTTGGCCGTTTAGCCTGATTCTTAAATGATCATCCGAGGACGCTCGCTCGTTCAAAGTCCCCTGGGAGTTTCAGCCAACCGGATGTCGGAGCGCCCGAAAATTAGGCTCCTTCATGAGTTCACCCTCTTTAGCTGAGGGCTGGGGGTAGACAGAAATATCTATACATAAAGGGAAACAAAAACAAAACAAAAATACGCCATCTTACTGTGCTTGAGTATGGCATCCTTGGGGTTCAACTGATAAAGCCTGGGCCACGCCCAGATTCGACTCCTCGGGGATTCAATTTTAATTTTCCGACGGGGATCCCTCTCAAGCTAGAACCCAGAGATGTTTCCTAATAAAAAAGGGAAAGGCCTAGGGGATGGGGTTTTTCCACTCCCACCTCCCGTCCTCTCCCCACCTTTGTATAAATAAGCGTCCCCGACGCGAGTCTCACCTCCCAAGCAGACGTTCTTAGGGCTCCACGAACGTAGGGCAGGAACGCGTGTTTAATAAATTGTGCTAGTAAAGCTGGTAAAATATAAAATATCAGCAAGTCCACAGCGACAAACTTTTGAGTGGTGCCCGATATCTCAGTTGTAGACCTGGATCAGCAAAATAATAACTTGTAGAAAATCATAAAACGGCAAACTGATCCTTACGGCAAGGCGATGAAGAAGCCGTTAAAGCAAGCAATTGGAGTAAGTAAAGAAGAGAGTAAAGCAGATATTGTAAATCCTTTATTTTTTAAGCCCCCCCTCTAGGCTTTGGTAGATTGTGCTCGAAAAAAAAGCATATTATGCTTTTAGCAGTGCTCATATTTTTTAGAAATTATGCCAAAAGTATGCTACTTTCTGAAAATTATGCTCTCTGTCACCGAAATTATGCTACTTAGATTTTACACTGATTTTAAGGAAAATAAAGATCATCAGTAGCTTAACTCTATCAATTTTGACTTTAATGAACATTCATATAGTCCACCTTCCAGTCTTACAGTCTTTAGCATGGCAAATACGCATGTGCACACATGCACTACGAGCCTCAGCGCTCCGGAAGTTAAAAAATTCGTACCGTCTGGTTGCTATGAAGTGACGTAATCATCCAGTTGAGTATCCATCACCGTAACACTTTTGCGGTCAACTACCGCAGCGCTCGTAAAGTACTTTAATTAAAACCGTGTTCAAAACCCTGTAGGAAGTCTGTTTATTTTTGAGTCGATTAATGCACTGCTGACTTTCACGAGGTCAACTTTTGCATAAATTATCAAACATTATGTTAAGCGGGAAATCTA